TTTTTTTGATAAAGCACCCAGTTTTCCCTAAAAAAACGAAATATAAATTTCGCGCGGGGCTGGGGTTATGGGGTTTTTATCATTTAATAATTTGTACTATATATTTTACGAAAAATACTTTAAGTTTTATCATTTTGTATCAAGATTTCTTGTACCTAAGTGTTTATCTGACATCATGAATAGTACAAATTATTCTTAGTACCTTATAATATATGCCTTCAATAGGTAGGATGTGTGTTACGTGTGGAAGTTCTCGATGAAATAGTGAAAAATTTCATTACTGTATTAAAGTGGTATACAACAGGTTCGTGTAAATGTTTTGATTATTGATTATTGAGCAGCTCATAATCTTAATTATTTTCATATTTTGGACTATAATTGATTTCAACGTATTGATGTTTATTTTATTCTATGGTGTTTGTCGTAGCTTAAATGTTTTATTCATATTGAAAAATTATCAGTATTGGTTTCTATATATTCTATTTGATCCTTCGTAATAAATTACGATAAAGTTTAACTTGATTTTAAAAAAACGTTCCTTTTCATTTGTTGTTTAAGATAACATCTTAGTTTCCTGGGCAGTGCAATCTGGTATATTTTATTTGGTCAGTTTGGGAAACTACTAGGTTTTTAGAAATTTTAGAATTCTTTGTGCCTAAAAGTCCGCCTTGTTTACTGTAACGGTTTTCTTCTGTGAAAAGTTAAATGTGACTATAGGCAGTGCAAGAACTGGTAAATCCTGGTAGTTAGAAGACATTTCTATAGCTGATTCTTGGTCAACAGAGAACATTAAGACACAACACTAGTGGCATGCATTTCCTTGAAGCATTTGTAAACTATACCGACACATTTGCAAAAGATAAGAGTCTTGGAAATCTAAATTCGACAACCCAGAACTTGTCCTGTTATCTTAATATTGAGCTTATATGTTTAACTGTATTGATTTATTACAAAATGATTTATTTTAGTTTATTTCTGAGGTAGTTAAATTTTAGTGTGTTTTTTTAATTTATAATAATATTTAAAATATGTAGATAAGTGATCTAATGGTCAGAGTGATTTCTAAAACGAATTGTTCTAAATTGCTCTACTTAAGATATGCATTAGTTGTAAACAAAAATGTGAACAATAGCACAGCTGTGATGTAAAGTGTCTAGAAAACCCTTTCAGCGATAAGCTTGAGGGCTTATAACATAAATAGCCCACTGTGTAGCTGTGCACATAAACTATGTGGACTGTTTTGCGAAATAAAGACTTGATTATTCTGTTCAGTTATCAGTTTATCTTTTGCATAGTACACACATTCATATAGCACATATGTAGATCGAATCCACTTTGCTAATTAAGTTCTATAAATTCTCCGAGAACATAATATAAACATAATGTTTTTTTATGTTTGACACTCTATTACATAAAAAATATCAATTGTTTCATCTAAATGACCCTCACAAGTCCTATAATAGAATGTAAACATAATGCCTATGTTGATATGATCTATAATCAAACGTATATGCAACTTCCTTTCTAGTATAGTAACATTTATTTTTAACACTTACAATTAATTATACAAATATTCATTTGAAAGATATATTAACACCGCCTTCGTTATTTGTTCAAAAATCACATTTGTTTAGATGCACTACCAAATGTATGTATTTATTTTTCAGCTATAAAATATAAAAAATAAAGGTTTGAAATCTGAAGTATAAGAATCATCTTTTATTTTAACTGTTGAAATCAAGTGCTTTTTCTTTCATGTCTGGCCAGGTGGTTAGGGCACTCTACTCACAATCTGCGGGTCGCGGGTTCGAATCCCCGTCACACCAAACATGCTAGCCCTTTCAGCCGTGGGGGCGTTATAATGTGACGGTCAAATTTTCTTTCTTAACTGTTCAAATCAAGTGCTTCTTCTTTCATGTCTACAATCTAAAGTATAAAAATTGTCTTTCTTAACTGTTGAGATCAAGTGCACATAAACGTCTCCATTTCAAGTAATACAATTTAATGTGAATAAGCGACATAAACACAATATTAGTCTTACACAAAACTACAATAATTCGTTTAAGCATTTCATAACACAAAGTGATGGCACAGATTTACTGTATTTTAAAACAAATTTCTGTGTGTATATGTACTCATAGATTTAGTACAGTTATAAAACATTTTTATTCAAGCACAGCGTCCACTTAAAAGGTAAATACGGAAAATATTTTCAAATGAACTATAAGTTCTCCCAATAAAAAATTTTCTCGCCACATTCCATGTACCAATACAAGGTTGGAGGCAACCTCCTCGTTTTTCTTCGTCTCATAGCAAGTAATGTTCTTTCAAATATTATGTTTTTATACGTAATGCTTCATTATTGCAAGCCGACAGTGTTAATTCCTATTAATTAAAAATATCCACTACGTAAAGATGTTTTGAATTTTGCGCAAAGCTACACGAGGGCTATCTGCGCTAGCCGTCCCTAACTTAGCAATAAAAAGCAGCTAGTCATGAACACCCACCGTCAACTTTTGGGCTACTCTTTTACCAATGAATAGTGAAATTGGCCGTCATATTATAATGCCTCCACGGCTGAAAGGGCAAACATGTTTGGTGGGACTGGAATTCGAACCCATGATCCTCAGATTGCGTGTCATGTGCTCTAACCACCTTATTTATTTATCTATTTAATTTTAGAAAACTGAAATTTTAGCAACGTATTTATACTGTTACTCTTTGTTACGTGCTCATAAAATGATGCAAAATTGTTTCTGAGAACAAAGTAAACAAAACATTATTCCGAGTGATGTAAAATAGCTAAACCTAATTCACTGAACATAATAATATTGACTTATTAATAACAAACAATTTTGCCTAACTGAGAAGCTAGTGTGTTTACCTGCTTTGTATAACTGTTGGGCAAAAACCACATTTGTGCAACCGTTTCGTTTTTGTTGTTCAGCTAAACTCTAGAATTTCTACTTACAATAAAAAATCTTGAAGATATGATTATTATTATTTCCGTGCTTTCCACTTTCAGTAAAATATTTTTCAGTTAAAACCTAATTGTTTGTTTGTTTTGAATTTCGCACAAAGCTACACGAGGGCTATCTGCGCTATCCGTCCCTAATTTAGCAGTGTAAGACTAGAGGGAAGGCAGCTAGTCATCACCACCCACCGCCAACTCTTGGACTACTCTTTTACCAACGAATAGTGAGATTGACCGTCACATTATAACGCTCCCACGTCTGAAATGGCGAGCATGTTTGGTGGGACGGGGATTCGGACCCGCGACCCTCAGATTACGAGTGAAACACCTTAACCACCTGGCCATGCCGGGCCACGTTAAAACCTGAAGCTTGGATCCTGACGAGCTTCATTTTTACAGTAGAAAACAATAGGTGCTATCAGCTCGAAAACACATCTGAGCTTTGATGATGAATGATCATTTAAAATGTAACATAGCTCCTCTAACACTAAATTATCCTACGGGCAGTAGTAGTTAATACTATGAGGATAAGTAAACGATTAGTTAAACATTACAGAAAATAATTTTAAAAACTTTTCATCTAAAAGCTGAAACTTATATAGAAAACTAAATATAATTACTTATAACAATTAAAATGTCACAGAACTTGTCAATATAACAATAAAAATCAAGTTACAAGTTAAATGATAACATTAAATTTTGGTATTAAGTGGTTGGTTCTTGTTCGTTTTATAGTGAAAATTAACAGGGCTACCTACGTCAAAGAACCGGTAGGAAAACTGATGGAAAAATCAAAAGGCAAAAGTAAAATACGCTAAAAAGTAGATAATATAAAACAAGCCGAAAGCTGAACATTGCCCGTAAATGAGGTTAAAAGATCAAATTGAACTGGAAGGGCCAATGGCCCGTAAAAAAACTAAAAACTCGATCAACCTGAACAGTGTCACCATCGCAAATAACACTGTCCAGTGTCAACGAGATAAAACATGTCTAAAATAGTGTCGTCGCCGGCATTCGTAGCGACAGCACGAAAGTAAAAAGATTGGCAATTTTGAATAGAGTGTCACAAAGGCCACACATTTATACTGTCTCACCTTCCGAGGATAGTATTGACACCTACAACTTTACAATTGAAGACTTAGTAAGTACAACCTGGCATAAAGAATTAGGTAAAACATTAGCATAGTATAGTATAATTATCATTAGACGAAAGATTATAATACTCTCCTACTGAATTATACGTCCTAATAGGAAAAACCTAATATTATATCAGTTTATATATTAATTAAAACTTGAGAACAGTAGAGTTATACGAGGGTCAACCCGATGAATAATACAATTTTAGCAACGCTTCTTATATTGTAACATAAAAATTAGTCGTGTACAGAATTTCACAACGTTTATTTATTGATTTATCCATCATGCCAGTGATATTAAGGGTCGTCTTATATTAGTTGTAGAACAGATAACATCACTTACGAACCAAGATGACAATGTTGTGCTGATATTGTTCATGGTTGATCTGAAGAAGATAAGGAGGAATTATACCACCTTCTGGCCACTACAATCCCCAGATCCAAACCCAATTGAGAATGTGTGGGATGTATTGGAGAATGCTGTCTTAACATTTATTCCGCTACCTTCCACCATCGTAAAGGATTTCAAGTTAGTATTGGTTGAAAAATGGATTAATATGGAACATATCTACTCCAAAAATTAATGGAGTCTGTGCTATAGCTGATTCAGGCTATGATTAAAAAACGCAGTGGTCTATTACGCTAGCAAAGCAGTTTAATTCTTTTTTTTTTTTTTGGTTCCAGAATTGTATGATAAATATATATATAATCTTTTTACTTCATCTTGTACTTCTAATATTACACGAACGAACAAAAAATTAATAAACTATATAATCTCATATATATATATATATATCAGGGCTATTCTGAGATTAGTTACAGTTACAGATCGTTACAGTTGAAAATAACCAATCTCTATAAATAGAGGTTACTTGTATTTTATTTTATTTCACTAACCTGATTAATAACGTTTATGCAAAAAATGAGCGCAACTGGTTCATGTGAAATTTACAACTTTCCAAAGCAATGGCGATTATAAACACCAGTTGAAAAGGTGTAACTTAAAAACAAATAATAAAATTCCAACCTACTTTTTTGCGACTCTGTAGTAAGAATTCTGGACCTCGAATAGTTGGGTGATCCACGTGTCTCGCTATACAAAATGACAGTGATCTCTGTCAAGTTGGTCATGATTTCGTTCTGTGTTTTAACTATTTCAAGTAATTTCTGTGGAATTGATCCATTAACTTCGTTCACTATGGAATATAGCTTTTCCTCTACTTTTTTTAATCTTTCAATGATTGAAGAATCACTTCCTGGACTAAGTACTTTCTCAAAATAATCAATTTTGGGGGATATGAAGTTAATGGAGTTTACAGTTTTATTTATCTTTACATTGAAATTTGACTCAAGAAAACTAAATTGTTCTTGTAAATTTTTGGTCACGTCTGTGATATTTAATATTACTCTTTCAACATTTTGCTGTAGGAAATTATTCAGCTCTGATATCGTGCTCAAGTTATACTCCAAAACGGTTTGAAACTCTTTCAGTAAAACATATTCTTCTTTTAGTGATTGCATTGTAGCATTAATGCCTTCATGCTGCTTAGTATTCATATAGAACATGCCTTTAGAGAAATTTGTTATTGAACTGATGTTCTCTTCTACAGTTTTAATATATTCGGTATTCTTTAAACTCATCTCTGTTGTAGAATTGAACAGATATTCTAAATCTTCTAATTTTCTTAGTATGTTCAATTTTAACTCGCTGATGCTATCTTGAGTTCCACTTAAGTTCGAATCAAGAGTTTTCTTCATTTTTTCAGACATCAGTAACAAACTATCATTGCACTTTTTCTCGGCCTTTTCCATTTGTAGCGCATTATGAGAGGTTAAATTATTTACATAATCTCTAACAGAAATATCATTTTCGGTGTAACTGTCATTGATTTCATACATAGTATATTCAATATTTCTAATTTTTTTAGGAAAATAATCTTTGGTAAGGTTTACTGTTTCACTTAAACCTTGTTCGAGATGTTTAATTCTTTCAGCTACATCAGAAAAGTTATGCAATGTTATATTTACGTCATTCTGTAATAGTTCCAAACGATTATATAAAACATCAGATGACTTGGAGGTATTTTCTAAATATTCAACCTTTCTATCAACATATTCCTGAACTTTGCGGATGGTTTCGTTTAGTTGCTGAGCTCTTTCTTCCACAGAGATATTAACATACTCTAACATCTCATCTTTCGATGTACTATTAGTACGTATACTCAGTATAAGCTTTTCCAGCTCTTGATGTTTTAAAATAATTGTGTCACTAGTTATCTGTGTAGAATTGTTAATATTCTCTCCTAAATCGTTTAATTTTGCGATAACTATCGAATCATTTTTTGTTTTTGCATCAACAATATTTTCGAGATCCCTTAATTTTCTCTCCATGTTTATACTGTTATTTAAGTAGTTTTCAAGTTTTTCTATTTTTAGTTGGAATACTTCTGCTTTCATCCCATTTTCTGCAGCAATACTGCTGTTTTCTAATTTTACAATTTTCTTCTGAATTTCCTTTACAATTGGTTTTAGCTCCTCTGTTTGGTTCAGTTGTTTTTCCACAAAATTTGTCCGAGTCTCTAAAGAACTGTGAAATGTTCTTTCTTTACGAAATTCTGTTTCTAGAATTTCTAGTCCCTCAGTGAGATTTTTTATAATTGCTTCCTGATTTTCCACTTTCTGAAATAATAATGCAAGGTTTTCTTCGTCTTTTCTAGTATCTTTCGTTTTAATAGAATTAATAAGATAATTTACTTTTTTCTCTAGACTATTTATTAACATATCCAAATTTCTTACTTCAGTTCGAAGTCTTGGAACTTCAGATAATGCATTTGCTGCAGCAGTCGTCCTAGTTTCCAACCTCTCCATTCTTTCACATAAAGATACTTCACACGTCAGTGGAACCCATATGATATTTGGATGATCACTAGACACAGAAGTTACGTAACTTATCAACAGTGATCCAAATATTATCCGTAGAAAAATAGTTTGTAAAGAAATGAACTGTTCTTTTGTCATATTACGCTTATTTATAGTTTATATTTACCAAAAATCTAGCCAATACAGTTGATGCTGTATTTATATTCAAGATTCACGAATCTGACATATATCTTATCAGAAACTGCTAATACGACAATACTGAGTTGTTATCACGGAAGAAGTCAAAGCTGAACTATCACGAAATGGGACGCTAAAGTTTAAGCGTGTATGTGGTTTGCAGCTGCTACACAGTGATTGGACAAATTTCATGTTAATGGTAAAGCTTCATATTTGAAAGTTGTAAAAACAAAGTAATTTTTGTAAATACACCAATGGCAAAGTCACAGCAGCTGTCAAAAGGGAAACTTCTTTACCAGGATTCACTTAGCAATAAAAGTAAGGACGATTAGATAAACCTTTTAAGATCAGAAGTAGAAAAACTATTACTTTAATCAAAAGTAATAATGGGCTTCTGAAATTATCTCCAAATATCTGCTGAAGTGTGTAGACTTGTTTCTATACGCTAAAGCAGTGCCTATAGTTTTTGTCTCACAAATGAATTTGATGGCGCTCATTTCTGTTATATTTTAAAGTAAACATTAGCGTGTAAAAGGTCGCTAAAATGTCATTATGAAGCAGACCAGCTCCCGGTTTACCATAAATGTGAAGTTCAGTTCGCTGGTGTTGTAGAAAAACATTGCGTTCTTTGTTAGGCTTCGCATGCGCAGTTTAAGAAAATGTAACATGATAGTACAGAGTGACTCTGTTTACTAGACACCGAGTCTTTGTACCAATAAAAACGAATATCGAGAGAGAGTAATCTGCATGAGTCTTTACTGCTCTAAGAATTCGCTGTGTCCGGTCACTGGGTCCTTTCTCGCGAATTTTCGCAGACATGTTTGGGATGGTATTCTTAGAAATTGAGCATGCAAATGCATACTTTAATATACATGTATTACATATGTATATATGAGTGTGTGTTTGCGTAGTTTCAAAAAACATATGTACATACGAGTGTGTGTTTGCGTAGTTTTAAAAAAACATATGTATATACGAGTGTGTGTTTGTGTAGTTTTAAAAAACATATGTACATACGAGTGTGTGTTTGCGTAGTTTTAAAAAACATATGTATATATGAGTGTGTCTGCGTAGTTTTAAAAAACGTGTATATGAGTGTGTGTTTGCGTAATTCTAAAGATTTTCAGCAGTTCGACACTAATAGCATGTGCTTAAAAGAGGTTTGTCTGTGAAAAATTGGCCTCTTAACCTAATACGTGTTTGTTTGCCTGTGTAATACAATTATATCTATCATTGCATGCCAGATTTTCTAATGTTCGAAATTAAACATATCTCTTTATAACATACATGTTTATTAATTTATTTTATGTAGTCTTCAAAAGTATTCTCGTTTTTTTTTTTTTAAATATTAACAAATTTTAGACTAACGAATTTTACAAACCCTTTATTTTATCACATAATTTTAATTACATCTACTTAGAATGATCCTTTGGCTATGATTGTGCCATCGCAAGTTTGAAGAATGGCCTGTCCCAGCTGGTTTGGACTTGGTTCACTAGTAATAGTTGGTTCGTTGTTTGGGGCTTTAAGGCGCAAAGCCGCTAGGCTATCTGCGCCACTAGTAATAGTTAAAATTAGTTTGATTATATTTCTGTTGCAGTGTCTAATTTCATTGAATTTTCTCCAATACCAAAATAATATCCACAACCTATTTTGGAATGCAAACGTACAGCAAATAAAACTTTTAAAATATTAGTTAACTTCAAAAAATAATTCCAATAGTTTGTTTGTTTCTTAATTTCACGTAAAGCTACATGAGGGCTATCTGCGCTAGACGTCCCTAATTTAGCAGTGTAAGACAAGAGGGAAAGCAGCTAGTCATCACCACCCACCGCCAACTCTTGGGCTACTCTGTTACCAAGGAATAGTGGGATTGACCGTCACTTTATAACGCCCCCACGGCTGAAATGTCGAGCATGTTTGGAGGGACGGGGATTCGAACCCGCAACCCGCAGATTGCGAGTCGAGCTCCCTAACCACCTGGCCATGCCGGGCCAATTCCAATACACTAGCTGCGAGTACAAATGTCAATGTTACATCCAGGACAGGAAGATACACATTATAATGACTGGCTGTTTGGCGCTTTTTGGCGCTAAGCTATGAGACTATCTGCGCTAAATAACCGGTAAAAATGTCGAAAATAAAATACAAGAAAATGTAAAAAAAAAAGAAAACAAGTTAAAAATTAAACAATGGCCAAAAATTTGGTAAAAAACTATATAGAGATATAAAGGCCAGTGGCCCGCAAAAAAACTAAAAACACAATCAAGTTGTACAGTGTCACCATCGTCAATGACACCCTCCAATGGCAGGATTAAGTCCTTGGAAAATACATGTCTAAAATGTTGCCTCCGCTCACATTTGTAACGACTGCACGAAAGCAAAACATGGGCAATTGTGCCTTGAATGTCACAAAGGCCACACTTTGGCGGATCAGTCCCACATAAAGGAAAACAATGAGTAAAAAAACTGTGGCCAATGCATAGCCTACACAAGACAAATTTCTCCCTCCAATCCTTACGAAAACTTAAGGGCTAAAGAACAATAGAAGGTTTGATAACTTGTATGAAGTGATTCCAGGGCCAGTAGAGAGCTAAGATAGTCAATGTAAATAGTACAGTTAGTGCACTTCTTAGTTTAGATGTGATGCAAGGCAAGCAAAATGGCATACATCTCGGCAGTGAACCCAAAAACCACCGAGTCACAACAAACCATGACAGATTCCACAGAATCACCAGATTTCGAACCATCCATAAAAATATGAATGGAAGAATGGTTTGAAAGGTGTTCAGCAAACAGGAGACGGTACTTCTAATTCGGAGTATCCATGTTCCCCATCTGACACAAAGAAAGGTCACAAGTGGGGATGGTAACAGGCCATGGAGGAATGGGCTGGTCATCAGAATCAGCAACATGATCCAATGACAGACCCAATTCAACCAGCTGTGCTTAGATACAAAGGCTAAAAGAAGGAACAGCTGACTGCTGATTCTGAAACAGCAAAGCCCAATGAGGAATACACAACCCCAGGTGGGATGTCATGGTAAAGATCGAAGCTTGGTAGCATATTGCAAAGAATATTGTAAATGACTAAAGTGAAGAAAAGTTCATGGTACTCAGTGAACATATTCTGAAGTGTGGAAAGCACCTATGTAGAGCCAAAGCTTCAAATGGTGCACAGTGTCCGATATCTTAAAGGCAGCGTCCCTAGCTAAACTGTAGACCATAGACCCATAGTCCAGCATTGACCATATGAGGGCACAATAGATCTTCAGCATCGAACCTCAATCCACTCCCCAAGAATTGGAATAGAGGATGTCCAGTGCCCTAGTACACTTGACACAAAGCTGCTTAATGTGAGGAATAAAAGTAAACTTATAGTCAAAGATGAGTTCCAATAACATAGTCTCAGCCAACATGAAAATAACATCACCATCAATACTGAGCTCCAGATCAAGGTGCAGACTCCGCTGGTGTAAAAAATACATACAAACAGTTTTAGAGGAAGAGAAGATTGAGGTTTCTGAGCTTTCCTTGATCACTGATAGTCAGGGGTCCACCATGGAGAAGGATACTAAGGTAAATGTGTCGAGATTTTGTGGATCATATGAACAACTTCTTAGACAAAATAATCAATTACTGCCTCCATACAATCATTAATAGTTGGAAGATTAATAACATCAGGATCAAGTTCTGGGAGAGTGGTAAAGGAGAGCCACTTAATCTGCTTCAGCTCTTACGTGACACATGAGTCAGATGGCATCCACTGTGGCCAACCTTTCTCAGATTGATGGAGAAATTATCACTGCCACATGAATCATTGTCTACCCAAGGAAAAGAAGGAAGAAGGGAAGGAGAACAAATGAATAGCTCAATGGCAGTAAAAGATTGACTTGGGTCGTGGGAATTCGTACATGGTCCAGTATTGAAAAAGGTTGTGGTCCAAGAGCATATACTTCACAATTTGACCATTTCCATCTATTGTAATGGAAACTGTATCTTGATAACTTTTCCAGGGAGAACAAGATAGATGGCAACTGCTTGATAAGATCATCAAGGGTTGCTTGACTGAAATTCTCTTCCAGTGACAGATAAAGTTCACAAACTGTGAATGAAGAACAAATGGAGATAAGAATAGCAACAGCCTACATTGATGTAGTGAGACATAGTTATGGAGAAAGCAAGCTGTTCAAAAAGCAGTGTTACATCATAATGAATATGGTCATTAGAAAACCTGTTTCTTCCTGTATAAGAAAAACTGTAAAATGCCGACAATATCAGCAACTCAAAGGAATGTTTACTGTAAAAAGGACACACAGAATAGCAAGATTTGATGAAGGCTTCAACGTCATCTAAATCAGAAAAGACACCACGACAGTTCTACTGTATCAAAGTGGCAGTTTTTACCTACAAGAAGCAGAATAACTGGATGAGTAGCTATTTTTTATTTGGTTTCATTTGGGATAATGGTGCAGAAAACTACCATAACAATACAGTAATACTGCCAGTGGCTGGTTTTATAAACATACATTTTATGTATGGTTGGAGTTGCTCATGTTGATCAGACTAAAAAAAGCTAGATATTAGCAAATTCAGCAGATGCTCTCTCCTCTCATTTAAAACGTAATCTGATTAAATTATGTCAAGTATTCAACAGGTATTATTTTATAACAAGCTAACAGCACACATATGACCCAGCTGCTAGATGTGGCTTGGGGGAAAATCTTATTGGATTGGAAAGTGAGTGCTGATGGAGATAAAAACACAGTGCTACAAAAAATTTCCAAGTCTACTTGCAGTCAGGTTTCAGTCTGCTGTTATCCATGCAACGTAGATGAACTATTATACAATCTAAATGACACATGCAATAAAAATAACGTGGAAACTTCGTTTTTAGGATCATTAAATTCTAAAAGCGCTGAATTTAAAGGCATCAGTGGTACAAAGAGAGGAAGAATGTGTTTGGTGTTCCTGGCAAAAGCATCACACAAGAAATGGTCACTCAAGATTCAATGTAAGCGTTCACTTCTGACACTATTTATGAATAACCAAAAGCAAAAACCTCAGATCATTGGTACATTGATACTCTTGAGAGCTCTGACAGCGAAAATGAAATGTCCTTCAGACTTATCAATGAGTTCAACATTGAACACCAAATTGCAGAATTGAGAATAGAACAAAAATAGTGTTGAGGAAGTTTCTTTTCAGAATGTCAAACGAGCAGTCAGTCAGCATGTTGTTTTCCTTTATAAAAGATATATTTTCCCAGGAAAAATTACCTACTTCAATCACTGAGATGCCACTGTAATCTCAATGACAAAGTCATGCAAGTACTGGAAGTGGCCCAAGAGAAAAGATGAAAGGTTTTGTCAGTTGGAAGATGATCTTGGCAGCTTAAATCCTCCAAAACAGATATCAAGACATGAATTTTTCCACATCCCTGAATTGCAAAATATATGGAAAACAAACGTTATTTTTCTTATTTGAAAAAAAAACAACTTTTGTTTGTTTTAT